TGTGGAGCTGCTCTTCAAAAGTGCCTGTGCTAGGGGAAAACAACGCTTTGACAGGCCAAAAGGCGAAGAATTTTATTTTCTTGGGGAAAAAGTGGCTTTAACGTACTTTTATAACTGGTGCAGCGTGTCGCATTAGGGAAGCAAATGAAACTAGGGCTCGTGGTGGTGTCCCTGATCTGCTGAGCTGTGCCCCAGTCTCACCAGTTCCTTTTTCATACCCCTGCTCTCGCTCTTTTTCGCGCTGAATACCGTTGGCATTTATCTCTCTGTCTTACCCAATGTTTGAGAGCGGGGTTAAGCGGCTGTCACCGTGCTAACGAAGCAATGCGGAGTTTCTTTAAGGAAAAAGGAGGTTTTGAATGGAGAGAGCGGTGCTGCCTTTGAGGAGAGGATTTCCTGCCTTTCTTGTACGTGTCCAAGCACCCACGGAGAGCTTGAACGCTTCCCGGGAGGAGCTGGGCAGGAGGAGATGCTCGTCCCGTGCTCTCTGCCCGCGGGTTGCTCATCCTCCCCGTCGTCCTCTGCCCGGTGAGGAGAGACGTGCGGGGCTCGCTGCCGGCACAGAGGGCTCCCGGGAGCAGCAGGGAGGTGGTGAAGTGAGGCAGCGTTTGCCTTTTTCTGCCTTGGCCGTTAAAGCTGGCGGCTCCTTGCTCTGGTTATTTCAGCAGAACCTTCTGAGCGAGGAAAAATCAGCCTCTGGGCTCTCCAAAGGCTCCACCAGTTCTCCCAGTGCTCTAGATGTGCCGTCTTGTGCGGCAGCTCTCTTGGAAAAACTGCTTCAGAGGCTTTAAAGGGAGAGCTCTTCGGATGGCTTTCCGCTGCAGCGTAGGTGCTGGGGAAAAAACCGAGTGTTTTAAGAGAAATCTCGGTAGCAGATGGTGATGGCGGTCATCCAGGAGAGCTTCCTCCCTCCTGCCTTTGAAGGCGTGGATTTTTCTCGCTCTCAGATACGGAGGAGCTGTCGCTGCCCTGCGTGTTCACGTTGGCCGACTTCCTGTCACTGGAAGGAGAAAAAAAAACCCAAACCCCACGGTCCGACATGTCATTGAAATGGCTTCCTCTTCTTCTTCGTGGGCCGTGCTGCTCTCCTACAAAATTGGGTTTGCAGGAGAAGTTTTCTCCATGCCCCACGTTATTCGAGCGCTCTGTGTGGATCTTAGCGCATAGAACGTCCTTTGTGGTGCGCTAAAGAATGACTTAATTTCGAGCTAGCACGCTGCTTCCTCGGATTCTTAACCTGTGGCTGGCACGTATATAATGAGAGATCCATAATTAAGAATCGTTTGGTGTAAGTTAATTACCTTAATAGGCTATCTTCAAGAATTTATCCCTGGTGGCTTACTGAAGGTATAACCGAGCTGTGGCAGATGGAGAACACCAGCTGCTCCGCGCGGAGAGGCTTTCTGCAGCTGGTGCCGCCTGAAGCCAGCGCTGATCCGAGGCCGTGTCCCTGCACGGGGGGTTGGATGCTCTTTTTGGGGCTAGCAGGGCCAGTGCTGGGTGAAGACTCCTACGCCCTGAGCCCACCCTGACTGCAGTTTTACACCCAGCTCTCCTGTTGCCCCATTAGCCGTCTGCCAGGCAGTGTATAACTGGTGTGGTTTAACGCCACACTTCATGTCCTGCAAGTATAACAACACCTGAATAAGAAGTAAATTTCTGGATGTTAGAAAATTGAAGGGTTTCAGGGCACTGAGAATGAGCTGGGATGAAGTTTCTAAGGAGCTGGTGTCTTTTTTTTTTGAAGGGGGAACTGGGAAAGCTTCCTAAACAGATGGACTGAGTTGGTGATTCTCGTGCCCTAAAATCTGCAGGATTTATGTCCCTGAACATAAGAGTTCTCTCCCTAAGAGTTTGGTGTGTGAGCTTCGCAACCAGCTTTAAAATGAGCTGCTGTTATTCTACTGAGCAAATGCAGGTGCTACCAGCTGAGCACCTGCCCTGACGTGGAAGCCCGTTAGCTTGGGATGAAGCAGCCCGCAGGGCGTTTTCAGCTACGTGGCTTCGGCGGGGCACCCTGCCTTAGGTTTTGGATGTTTTTCTGCTGCACCCCCATGAGGGCATCTCCAAAACCCCACCCTGTGCTCTCTCTCAGTTTTTACCCTTGGGAGAGTGAGGCTGGGGAGAGGATTGCTGTCTCTAAATACGAGGGTAGGGATGCTTTAAAAAAATATAAATAAAAAACGCAGGCTTGCAGGGAAAAAAAAAAAAAAAGGCATGTTGTGACGGGAAGAATTATATTCCAGAAATCACAAGGAGGTTTCCCGGCACCAGGACAGGAGGTTTCTGGAAGCAGTCCCTTCATCAGAGCAGAGATGACAAAGCAGCCGAGTGGGAAATCTGTGAAAAGGGAATTTGGGATGTCAGTGACCGCGACAGACAGGACGAGACTGGGCTGAGTGACGTGGGAAGCCTCTTCTCGTCCCTTTTCTCGCGTAGGGCTTGGTGGTTTTCCAGCAGAGTTCAAGCAGTATTGAAAAGTGAACGTGGGGAAACTGGTTTCGGTGAACTGGGCGTTCAGAGTGGCGTTCACCAGTTCAGTCACTGGAGGGACTGGAGCAGCAGCAGGCTCTGGTTTGGCTGCCAATGCCCTGTTTTTACCTGTATGATGGTATTTTTATTGCTTGTTCTCCCGCCAGCAGGGCACGATCCTTGTTCAGGGCATTTTTCCGCAGCGGTGAGTTGCTAAATCTAGGACTTTGGTTCAAAGAAAGACGAAACACTTTGAGAGGGGGATGCTATTCTGCCATTGACGCGGGGACTGCTGGCTTTTGGGTGCACGTGCCGTGTTGGAGGTGGCTTTGCTGTGGCATTAGGAGGGCCTGTGCGCAGGGTTTTGGGTTTGAGGTGCTGGGGAAGAGCAGGGGGGTGAAACACACGGAGGCTTGGTGTTTGCTGCCTTGGTGCCTGCTGTGCAGAAGTAGGGTGTCCGTCTCCCTGTCGGAGCGGTCGTGGTCTCTGTCACCTCTGTGTGTCACCTCACCTGCTGCTGCCACACTCCTCCACGACAGAGCCCTTCCTTTTCGGGCTACAGAAATCCTGGAGTTTGTCCTGCCTTTCCCTTCGCTTACATTCTGGGGTCTTGGACTCTCCTGCCCGTGAGGGTGCTCCTCCTGGTCTGGTGTCCCCAGGGACGTGGTTCTGGTGCTGCGTGAGGAGGCCCAGGCAGCCAACGTTCCTCTCTTGAGAAGTAACTTCACGGTGTAGTTTTTTGTGAAGCACTTCAGTCAGGTTTTCACGCAGGAGTCTTGGAGTAAGACACGTGTGCTAAAAATGGCTTTTCTCCGCTTAAAGCGCTCGTTAAGAGTTTCCGTCCTGAAATGCTGAGTTTGCAATTCTGGGATTCGTTTAGGGAGCGCAGAATGAGATTGCCGTGAAAAAAGTCCTTGACTTGCTCCTGCTTGCGTTCTCTGTTGGGCTGTGATTCAGATTCCTCCCTCTCTCTCATTCATGAGCAGTTATTTTTGTGTCTGTTCTTGTTTGAAGTAAATGCAGTAGAAATAGAGAGTGATTGGGATTTGGATGTGCCTCCTAAAATAGAGTTTGCGTCTTCTTTCAACGTTTCTTTTGGTGATGGTTAGGGGTGGCCTCTCTAAATATATAAAAATAACTCCGTGGTTTAAAAATAACGTGGGTAGCTGATGGCTCTAGCAGCTCCCGGGGAACTACGATGCTCTGAAAGGGCCTGTTTTACCTCCGCTCTGTGCGGCGACCACGTTCACCCGCCGAGGAGCGAGCACGTCGCCTTCAAACGTGCGCTTGAGGCTTTTCGCGGAGGGTTTTCCTTGGGAGCCAGTTCCCCCCCCTGCCCCTGAGCTGTTTTCTTTGCTCTTCAGCTTTCTGAAGCGCCGCCTCGGGGTGTTTGGGTGTTGCTCGCTGACGGCTTGGTGCTCCCGCGCCTCTCGGCGTGCTCCTCCCGCGCTCCTGGGATGGGGGGGACGGGGTCTGTGGGCAGTTCTGGGGCTGGCTGCTGCTTCCCGGAGCTCGACCGCAGGGATACCCGCTTCCCGAGGGCGGTAGGCGCGTGGGGCACGCTCCTCTCTCCGCGGATGAGCGAACGTGCGTTATCGCGCCTGTCTCTGACATGGAAGAATTTTCCTAAAACCCAAGATCCTTCCATCCAGAGGAACGTTAGTAACAGCTGCGCTGCGTTCGGGTTTATTTTCTAAACATTCGCTTTTTTTTCCTCTTGGAAAAAACCCCTCGGGGTGTAATCCCGCTGTCATAAGCGGTAACATGTGGCTACGTTTTTCTCTTCGCTCTGGAGCCCGCGCATCTCGTTAGCTCCAGCCTCTCCTTTAGCTCGTTAATAGCAATATTAATCTGTTCCAGCTCTCGGCTCTAATCGCAGATTCCATCTGATCAGGGTTTTCTCTTGATCTTTTCCAAGAAGCTCATTATCTAATACAGCTGTAAATGTTGCTGGGCCTGACACTGATGCATATTTTGTACCACGGGGGAATTTGACTAATAAAATAATCCAATTAGACATTTGTTTTTGTCTCCCTGGGGCATCTTGGATTACTTGTCTCCCTCGGTTATGAGTTGTAATTAGTTCACGTTTGTACATCCCTTTGATGTAAAAGCACCGGTGTTATCCTTGGCTCTGGATCAGCACTTTAGAGGAGAAATAGCTGGGGATTAAAACATCCAGGGGGCGTTGGGGTACCGTCAGACCCGCGCTGCGTGCGTCTGCGGTGCTGCCCGGTGGCGCTGCCGGTATTTCGGTGTCGCCCGTCGCATGTGGGAGCTTCTGAACACGGGAACGGGAGTCGGGCTCGTGTCCAGAGGAGGCTCAGCCGCGCTTGTCCAAGACAGACCAGGCTGCTAACGTTTTTCTTTGTTTTCCCCTCAAAAATGAACCGATCAGACGAGCGTTTCGCAGTCCCTAGAGAACTGCACGAATTCCTGCAGTTTAACTCTTTTTGCCGGTGGCGTGACAGTCTCGTACCCTGTTTCTTTGTCTTTTTTTTACATTTCTTTTTCTCTCCTCTCTCCAGTCTTTCCTTGGTTTGGCTTGGATATCGGAGGGACCTTGGTCAAACTTGTTTATTTCGAACCAAAGGACATCACGGCTGAAGAGGAGGAGGAGGAAGTGGAAAATCTCAAAAGCATCCGCAAATACCTGACCTCAAACGTAGCTTACGGATCGACAGGCATTCGGGACGTGCACCTTGAACTGAAGGACCTTACCCTGTGTGGACGTAAAGGCAATCTGCACTTTATACGCTTTCCTACTCACGACATGCCTGCTTTTATCCAAATGGGAAGCGAGAAACACTTCTCGAGCCTCCACACTACCTTATGTGCCACGGGAGGTGGAGCGTACAAATTTGAGCAGGACTTTCGCACAGTATGCATTTTTGGCTTCTATACGATTGGGGTCTGGTAGTGAAATTCTTTTTGAAGCTTAAAACTTTCTCTGCAGACTCGAAAGCTTCTCTAAATCTTGGCTTTGGAACAGTGTAGCTAACTCAAATTAAACCCCATTCAGCAGACAGCATGTGGAGTCAACTTTGCATCTCCCTGTTAGGATACTTTCTTTCCTGAAAGTGCACATAATGTTCCTGTAGCTCTAAAATTATTCACTAACTTCCACTGCCTGTGCTCTTACGAGACTTTTTCTGTATTATTAATCTCTGATTATGCTGATCTCGGTCTTGTGGGTTTTTTTTTTTTTTCTCACTGCTGTCTTTCACGTGCTTAATGTTAGTTTTGTTGTTCCTTTGCGCAGGTGGTTTCATTCCTAACAGGCATGTGAGGGAGCTGATCGAGGGTCTGTCAAATCTGCTGGTAAATTAACTGAAAGGGGGTTAGTAGCTGGGATTTGACGTCGTCGTCTGGCTTCGTTAGAAGTCTGATTTGTGTTCGTGGGTGAAAAATAAGTGTGTGATAAATACTTTGTTTAACCAGGGCTTGCAAAAAAAGCACCAAATAAAGAGGCTTTTTGTGCAGTCGAGGCAGTGACATGAGGGGAAACCAATTTCATAACTTCCTTCCTTTTTTTGCTTTTTTTTTTTTTTTTTTGTGCTGGGTTTGGGGGGATTTTTTTTTTTTTTTTGTGAAGTCCCTTCTCATTTTCCCTTGCTTTTCACAGAACCACAGAATGGTCAGGGCTGGAAGACGCCTCTGGAGATCAGCTAGTCCAACCCCCTGCTAAAGCAGGTCACGCAGGAACGCGTCCAGGCGGGTTTTGAATGTCTCCAGGGAAGGAGACCCCACAGCCTCCCTGGGCAGCCTGTTCCAGCGCTCTGCCACCCTTAATGGAAAGAAGTTTTTCCTCATGTTGAGGCAGAACCTCCTGTGCTCCAGTTTGTGCCCGTTGCCCCTTGTCCTGTCAGTGGGCACCACTGAGAGGAGCCTGGCCTTGTCCTCTGGACACCCACCCTGTAGATATTTATGTTGATCATGCTGGTGCCTCAGAGCCAGGGCCTAAACCAGGCCCTTGGAAGCGGGATTCTCTCGGTGTCCATCTGCGGATCCAGTTGTTGGTTTCCCCCCTCTGTCACGTCTGCCCGCCGCAGGGCCGGGCAGTTTGCACTCCGCGTGCGTGGGGAAAGCTGGAGCCCTCCTGTGATCGGGGCTTTCTCAGCCACCGCAGGGAGGGATGGAGGTGGCTGCGTTGAGCTGGCCCTGGACGCGTTTTTCTAGCCCTGAGCACGAGCACTTTAGCTCCCTGGCTACTTCCTGAATATTCTTCTTTCTGTTCTTTTTCCCCCCGCCCCCCTGCCAGATGGGTGACCTTCAGCTTTGTAAGCTCGATGAACTCGATTGCCTTATCAAAGGAGTGTTGTACATCGATTCGGTGGGATTCAACGGGCATTCGGAGTGCTACTATTTTGAAAACCCGACGGATGCTGAGAGATGTCAGAAGCTCCCGTTCAACTTGGAGAATCCCTATCCTCTCCTGTTGGTGAACATTGGCTCAGGGGTCAGCATTTTGGCTGTGTATTCGAAAGAGAACTATAAACGGGTAACGGGCACCAGGTGAGTGCTGTCGGGGGGGTAAACTGAGTTTTGTTTTGGAGTCTGGAATGCGTTTCTGTGGTGTGGGTGACATTTTCAGGGACGAGCTGCGATAAAGGAGGTGAGTTGAATGGCTGAGCTCCTGCTTTTACTGCCGTCCCTTATCTCTGCCGGCACAGATCCCTCCTGGAAGAGAGGATCTGAATGTCAGCTTTTGGTTCCCTTACTGCAGCCCGTCTCTTGATTCCTACAGCAGGGCAACTGAAAAAACAGCTTCTGAACTGTTTCATTTGCCATCAGAGGGATCCCATAGTTCGGGATTATCCCAAATCTAATGAACATGTTGACAACCATTAGCTTTGATCCTAGTGGTAGAGATTTCCATCCTGACTTCCAAAGTTAACGTCGTTTTGGTGGAAGGGATGCTGGCGCGGCAGTAATTCCTCAGACAGTTCCTGGAGTGCTGCAGCTGCCCTTTTTGAAGGTGTCACTCTTGTTGCCAGGCAAAGCCAAAGAGCCCTGTGGCTTTAAGCTTTCCTGAATTTCCTGAAAGTCAGCAATAAGAATTAAAAAAAAACCCACAGTACAGATCTTACTCTTATTATACATCATTAGTGTCGTGTGTCCTCAATAAAGTGAACAGGACATCGTTTTTTCCCTCCCTGATTCTTGAATAGCTGTGCCCTAATACTCCGGTTACCCCTCAGGACTAGTGTTCATTGTAAGATCGACTGCTCTGAGTGCTGGGAAGAAAGTGGGTCTTGGAAAATAAGAAAATGAATTTCTCATGTAGAAACGTGCCCTCTGCAGAAAGCGGCGAGGGCCTGGGATTCCTTACAGGCTGTAAGGTACTTGGGAGTGAATAAATTTAAGGATCTGCTCTTCCAAGGTTGCTCTGCCTGAGAAGAGAAGCAGCTGAGGGAAGGGGGCGGCCTGGGCGAGCCGGGCTGCGGGGCTGAGCCCTCCGAGCTTTCGGGGGAACGAGCCGTTTCTCGGTCTCCTTCGAAGCAAAGTGGGTGACTTTGGGTTTGCTTTCTGTTGCAGCCTTGGAGGGGGAACCTTTTTCGGTCTCTGCTGCCTCCTCACCGGTTGCTCCACCTTTGAGGAGGCCCTGGAGATGGCCTCCCACGGGGACAGTACCAAGGTGGACAAACTAGTGCGGGACATTTACGGAGGAGACTACGAGCGGTTCGGCTTGCCAGGCTGGGCCGTGGCGTCCAGGTAATGGCTGCTTTTGGGTTTTATCCTCACTGGAGATTCTGCCAGGGTTGAAAAACTGGATTGATGTGTCTTAGGAGAGCACCCCTTCCTTCTGCTGTTCTGCTTTACCAGACCTAAATTACCGCTAGCGGCGCTTTTTAAAGTTAGAAAGAAATACTTCCAGGGGAGCGACTTGGGTCGCCGTGTTTCTCCTGGGGTTCTGATGCAAACGGACCTTCAACCTTGTCTTTCCAGCTTTGGGAACATGATGAGCAAGGAGAAGCGGGAATCTGTCAGCAAGGAGGACCTGGCCAAGGCGACGTTAATAACCATCACCAACAACATCGGCTCCATAGCGCGGATGTGTGCGCTCAACGAGGTATTGGGGGGGAGATCCGCTGGCGTCGCTTCCCGTGTAGAGCATCCCTGGTGTGCCGCTGTCACGCAGAACCTCTCT